AGAATCAGGGATCAAACGTTTTTTTTGTTGAACCTTTTTGTATTTTACTGTCCGACGAACCCAAATTGTGTATCAATGTCTGAGTGTATGTATGAGTTTAAAGAAAAATGGAATCCCTCAAAAGAGACAGTAAAACGTGTGGCCAATGATTTACTGCAGGGCCTCAAAAAGGTTCAGGGCCTTTTGAAGATTTGCGTTCCTCTAGTTCTGCGAATTGTATCTTGCGATTTACAGAGAGCGTAAAGCTTCTGCTACACAGATAACAGCAGATCCAAACAGAGAGAGCGATTCTTGGAATTTACAGAGCAAATCTCTGGAATTAATACAACTGGGAGGGACCTTGGAATGTGTAGTGGGACCTCTGGTCGGGATTGGCTGATTAAGCTGCCAATCAAATGTGCCCACAAACACCAAGCAACTCCCCTGTGGAGGAAAAGCGACAGCAGCTCCTGAAATGAGAGCAACATGCCCGGTGCAAGACGAGGAGGCTCTTCACCCGGTTTCCTAATACACATATATTATATTATTATATATAAAGAGACCGTGTTCATTCCAATTCAGAGTGGCAAAGATTGATTGATTTGTCATCCATCACTACTTTTGATAATAAGTAATTGGTTATTTTTTCAAAGAAAAAATAATCTGACAGTTTCGGATGCATTTACACAAACGGAATTTCAAACTGAAAGACCAAACTGATATGTGTTTTAAACTCAAAGTTAGGTCTTTAACAAGCTAAATGAAGCAGATTTTCACAATAAGGGACATTGTGACATCTCTGGTATCACACAGACTGGTGTTCATTTTTTATTATTACAGCAGGAACTAATTAAAAGTGGATTGATTTTAAACGGAACTGACGTACGTTTGACTGAGGACACTCAGGAAGACGGTTCCTAAAACGCACGTCATAGATGATGTGCTTCCCGGCGACCTGTGAAAGAGTTGAACACTTTCTACCGCAAAGCCCCCCCCCCCCCTCTCACGTGTTCCTTCCCCCTCCTGCGGCTCTGATTCAAGTCCAGGCGCAAATGACGCAAAACTTAACACCAATCAGAAGAGACAACGGGAATATGTCTAAGTACTGCGGTAAGTAAAGCAGGAAGGGAGGAGATAGAAACAGAGGCACACACACACAGAAGCCCCCCCCCTCCCTCTGCTGACACTTCCAGGTTGCAGCACTTGAGCAGCGTCAGAATTTATCTCCGCGCCCGCCATGCAACCGCAATGCCGGCGTCTCACATGAGAGCTCGCCGCTTATTGCTGGTTTATCACTTCTGAGGGATCCTCTCGTCCTCAGTGCCAACGTGTGCACAAAGACGATGATTTCACGGGCTGCGTGGAAACGTTTCAGCAAAGACGTACGCTGATGAACCCCCTTTTTTTTTTTTTTAGCTCTGCAGAGGCCCGCAGCGCGAGTGTGTGCGAGCGTGTGTATGCACAAGTCGCACCTTCAGCATCTCCTCGTGGATGCCGTAGTGGCCGTAGGAGCCAAAGTAGGCCTCGTCCTCGTCCTCTCGGAGCTCGGCCACCGAGCCCAGGTTGCCAGCTTTGCCCGTGCCGGCGTTCAGAACCAGGCCCTGGGCCAGAAGCCTGAGAGGAGAACACGTGCGTTTAACTTCTCTTATGAGGACAAAAGGGAGCACAGACCACCTTCATGCAGGACGTAGCAGTAAATGGAGAAGATAGGAGGCATTAATCTTGCTAACTCTCTTACAACCCCCACCAACCTCACTCTTTCTGTAATTTTCCCTTATTGCCCCCTCCCGGCCCCCCTGTTGCTACCCCCCCATCCCTCTCCTCACTTTAACCTCCATGCGGCAGTGGAATTTTCCCTTCCCTTTCTATATCCTTCCCCCAAACTTCTACAAGTTACTCCAGTTCATGTTGCTGCAATAATGGGTTGACTGTGTCCCCCTGCTGGCCTCAGGAGGGTAGTGCAGAAGTGGAGCAAGACACAGAGTACGGCGCAACTGCTCAATAACGTGGAAAACTGGGCAATCAGATCCACCCAGGATTTACTTCAAATGAACTCTACAAGCGTATTGCACATAGTTGTTATAAAGCAAAAGTTAAAAGAATGGAGAAAGATCTGACTTGAGTTTGTGCAGGTCGTCCATGGCTCTGGTCAGCGCCTCCTCCGAACTACGGGCCCGGTCCTCAGCGGCTTGGGCCCTCCGCTGCAGTGCATCATGGGACTCGGCCCCAGACGACGGGCCCGTCCACAGGCTTGAGTCCTCACAAAGCTCCTCTGGGTCTGGCAAAAAACATAGTAGGGGGCAGACAGAGATGTATAAAGTCAAAGGCTCAACACAGTGACTAGGACAGTTTAAATGAAAAAAGACAAAAAAAATGGTGTATATAGAATCAGTGTATATTCATGCCCTGCATGTTCTAAAAGGGACAATACAAATGAGATATCTATTCAGGACAGACCATCTTGTGAAATCAATAACTCCTTGCAAGAAATGGGTGCTTCTTTTGGGGAAAAAAGTTCACTGCAGAGGCGGCACAGAGCCTGAATATCCGTCACTCCAGTGGAGCGCTCTGCACCGACACAGATTACTAAACCTGCTCTTCCTCCGAGGCATTTTGAGACCCGAAGCACTGACTGCAGTGACTGAAGAAAAACAGTAAGCTCCTTAGAAACATCTTCAAAAAGTCACAGCGAAACATCTTTTGAACTGTGCAAAGGATTATGTGAGGATACGAGATGAAAAATTCGCCTCACAACCACAACCAGCACTTTTTGTGAGTACACCCGGGGGCAACGCCGTCGTTTGTTGTCCGAACTGGTTTAATACGTGCCAGTTCCACAACATCTATGAACTGGTTTTGATAATATTTAAAAAATCTCATGAGTCAGTTAAACTGCAGGCAATGACTAAAAAGGAGTTGTTGTATGTGATCAAATAAAAACCTCATAAGAAACGGGGTTGTTTTGGAGGTTTGTGTTGCAGAGCATTGTCGTTGCGTGGTAATTGTGCAAGTGGCCTCTGTGATGAGTGTGCAAAGCGTGTAGAGCCTAGCTGGCGATCATGGAGGCCGTACTGCTTGTTGAGTGCAAGTCAGACTTCAGCGTAATACTGGAGCACCATGTTGGGGGGTGGTGGTGGGGGGGGGTCCTCCAGCTGGGCACTGGGTATTTTGCACACGGCCCCGTACCGGTCTGCAGCAGGGGGTCGTCCTGCAGGACCGGTCGCAGGAAATCTTCGCTCTCCCACGGCAAAGGAGCGTCCGTCAGTCCCGTCAGTAAAGATGCAGCACATTTCTATGTACGCAGGTTTGTCCATAAAAGAAGAAAAGAAGGAAAAAAATCCTTTCAGCATTTTACTTTTTACACAAACGGAAATTAAAAAAGACAATTATAAAACTGTAACAATATGAGGTGAACATTTCATCACGTCTCACTACAGCACTTACCGTTGATCGTATGAAGTTGATCATCTTTATGTAACCGTAGTCGTCTAAATCTAATGAGGAAAAAAATGAAAATGAAAGAGATTGAGCCATTTGAACAGAACAGAACGACCCTCTGGTTCTTCATCTGGGTCTACTCACTGTGCCTTCTTATCACGTCCACGAGGTTGACCCCGTGCTCATCCGCGCAGTGCTGCAGGGCGGCCGGCACAGAGGTCAGCAACCTGAAACACACAACGGCACATGTAGAAATGTGCACGCGTTGCATCAAAAACAGCTTCTCAGATGTCTTGCTCTATTCACCGCTTCGCCGGTTCTGATGATGTCATACGAGGCCCTCTGGTTTTAAAGTACAGTGATGCGGCTGAGAGGACTAAACCGAAACAATCGACAGATTCGGAACTTTTAAATAGAAACAAAGGAGACTGAAAGTGAGCAAGTCCCGTGCTGCGATCTCACCTGTCGCAGAACAGACACGTGACGTTCACCGGCGGACTGTCCTCCTCTTCCTCCTCCAGCCACTGCCCTTCATCGTTGTCGACGTCGTCGTCACCGTCAGAGAGCTTCGGCATGTCGTCGGCAGCTCCATCGCACTCTGAGGTGTGGTAAAAAATAATAATAATAAGTCATTACAGCCGCTTGCTTTGTCACTCTGACAGCGGTGATTTGGTTCAAGTTAATTACTTTAATAACCGTTAAAATGAACGTTACAGCTGTGCAAACGGCCGCTAACAGGTCGCGTGAAGAAGAAACCATAAAGTCAACGCATTAGAAATGTCCACCGGACAAAACCCTCCACAGCTACCGTGGGAGGGTATTTAAAATCTGCTATTTACCAAACTCACGTGCGTCTGTGTATTCTGCCATGATGCCGCCTCGGTTGCACTGGACTTCCTGGTTACGTCAGGTGACGTCGAGAAAGGGGCCGGGCCGAGTCAGAGGAGACACTTGCAACTGGACGCCTCTAGATGTCGCTGGAGGTCCATTCATGAAAAGCTCACGTGGGATACTTCGGCCCAAATGAAAGAAATCCTTTTCTCACTTGTTTGTAACGGGTTTGATTGTCAGCCATGAAACGGAGCAGAGACCAGCTTGTATTACAGATTGATCGATCGCTGCCAAGAAAAATATTATATGTAATATATTAAGTAAATGATTATTTTCTGTAAATTTCACTTATGACCTCTTTCAAGAAATCTCCTGTGTTTTCGGCTGCCAAAAACATTGACGCCACATTACTTCTCCCTCGAATAGCAGATTTTAAATGGTCTACTTTGCTTCTGCGACCCTCCTCACAGTGAATGTTAGCAGATAAGCCGATGCAGGTACTGTGAATGTTGGTGGTTTACTCCATCTACATTGCCTCTGCTCATTGTGGACTTTTGGGCCTGTTGTGTCTGGATCGGTCAGAAATGACCTGAATCAGAACACACAGGCGATTTATATCTATGCAAAGTGCAATTAGAGTTAATGGATGATACGTTTAGGGTGGAGCATGCTGATGGAAAATGCTTTGGACTTGTCGTGTTAGGGCGTCATTTTTTGTATTTCGTATTTGGAAAGAACACAAACCCGCAGACTAAGGTGTAAAGTTGTTTTTTATATTGTTTAGAACATACATATTTCAAAGAACTGACTGTCTTGCTAAAAGTATTGCCTTAGTGCATCTTTTTAGCCGCAAATAAAGCAAAGCAATTGAGTAAAAAAAAAAACTATCGTATCAAGTATTTGGAGCCCAATGAGGGTATTCCACCACAAGGGGGCGCTGCTAGATCACAGAGAGGAGGAGAGTTCATTTGAACATCATCTCTCAAACTTAAAGGTAATTAGAAGTGCCTCACTCAGAGCAGTCAAAGCAAATCATACTAGATAAAGTAGCAGACAATTGTGTACAATTACGTCTATCAACTTTGAAAAGGAAATTTGAAAAAAAGATATGAATTAGAAATAAAGAGCCTTAATATTTCACAATTTAACAGAAATAAAGAGCATAGATATGGTGACAAGCATCCAACACATGCATCAGTGCACAGATGTAGTACAGCCCAGACATACACACCCAAAGATAATATGGATACAGTCACATTTTCCTAAATAAAATATCCACAGTAAAATATTTGTAATAATTTAAGAAAAATATGTTTGAATGTAGTGCAGAATCAACTCATTTACTTTAAGGCAGTGGTTGAGTGCGTTGACTCGGAGCACAAAGGGTCAAAAAGCCTGGAAATAGTCCCTCATGACAACATTACAACACCATTTACCCCATAAGAAAATAAAGCCAAATACCTTTCAAGATTTCTTTCTAGCTTTACACGTCGTTTTCTACAGAAAAGTATCTAGCATAATATATACACACACACACACACACACACACACACACACACTTTGGCTTTCTAACAATCCAAGGATACATTTTATTTAAATTGAAAACCTTTGGACAAGATGATGATGAGAATAGTGTTTGCACTTTGTAGCCGTCTCTGTACGGGACCTGAAAAGAGAAGGAAAAAAACGTCTCGTTTGAATATAGGTCACAAAGAACATCACAGTGACCTCCGAAAAGTCCAAAGAAGCAACTTAAAGGAGATCTTTGTCATGATTCTCATAGGAACACAGGCTCCAGGCTCTTCTGTGTCTGATGGAGGGTTTAGACATTGGATCAGTATTGAGCGAGAACACTGCAGCAGCAAGCGATTCAGCGCCGGCCTTCTTGCTGCGTACTGGATCAGATTTCCAAAAAATAAATCGTACCCATTAGACACTAAAACATGGGAACAAAGGGTCCAGGTTGGAAAATGCCGGTGTGAATAACAATAATCACATTTTGAATCGAACTTCATAGAAAAATAGGTCAGGCTTTTAACAAACCACTTTCATCTCGGCCCCAAAATGTAAGAAGGACATTGTTAAAGTAAATAAATGTACTTATAGAAGTGGTTTCACATGCTTATGGTCATGAGATATGAACGTCGGTTCAACTTGGCCCACGCTAGGAACTATTGCTTGAGCTCATCGGTGTCGAGGGGGAATCCCTGTTCTCACCTCCGGGTATCTCCTCCTCTCACTTCCCAGCGCTTTTCCCCAGACTGGCGATGTCCTTGTTCTCCAGGATCTCCGTCTTCGTCTCGGGCTGAAGCAGAGCGTTCGCCGCCATCGCTTTGGCCACCGCCTGGATCGGGATGGACATGGCCGTGGAACACACGGCGGAAAAGGCGCCGAAGAACTTCCTGGCCAGCCACTCAGCGGGCCGACTCTCCTGCCGATCCACCAACAACACGCTGTGGGGTGGAGGGTATTGATGATTCAGAGATGTCTTGGGATTGATCGGTTTATTTTTAATGGTTAACGACCGCTTCATTCAGCAGAATTGACATCTATTCTTTTCTCCATTGGCAGGATTCACAACATTGATACTCAATTTTTCACCCTGGAATGATTGATCTAATTTATTCAATAATTTGTTGCATGTAAAAGTTGTCATGGTCTATATCACGGTGACTTAGTTGTATGAGAGGAACCTTGTAATAACAAGCCAACCAAATCAAAACACCCGGACTATACCTTTAAAATGTTAGTTTGGACTAGAGGTTCCCATATCAGATTTTTCTTATATATTCTGATAAACAATTAACCGATATGTCCTGATTATCCTGAATGTCAGTCAGACGCTTCATAAAATAAATATAAATATTTTTATTTTAGTATCAGCTTATATTTAAAAAAAATTGGCAATACGAAAACATCAACTAGATTTAAGTTTTTCTGAAAAAATGTAATTTGAACACAGCATAATAATCTACTTTTGCCTAATAGAGCTCAACTGCATTATACTGTAACTCAATGGAACCTCAGTTAGCGTTAGCAGTTAGCCCTGTTAATTACCCAAGAAGGACTGTGCTGCTCACTGCTCACTTCTCCTGCTGATTTAACATTAGCAGGGACTAAATGGGCTGCAAAAGAGATTCAGTAATAGTTTTCACATGAACATGTGAAGTATCGCTGTAGTGTCAATAACTGATAATTGATGCGCACATTATTAGAGTCAAATAGTGGAGATTTTGGAAGCGAACGAGATCACTCACCCGGGTCTGTAAATGGCAAGTCTGTCAAAACCCAGCGCCTCAATCTCTGCCTCCACTTGTCCCTGGAAGAGAAGGATAATCCGCAGTTTAATGACACAAACGGGCAAACTTTAGTTGAGAGAAAAGCCGGCGGCTTCAGGAAGAGGAATGCGGCGGAGGAAGCAAATCCAATACCTTGACTTTGAGGTAGAGGAAGTTGCTGTTCTTATCGGCTCCCCTGGAGGACTCCAGGTGGAACTGGGAGCAGCCTCCTGCTTTGGCGAGTTCGGCCGATTTCAGAACGTAGTCGTGATCAACGCGGATGAATCCTTCCTAAAAGCAAAAGGAGAAAAAAACGAAATACTTTTACAACATTTGGTCATTCAAATCAATGTTTAATCCATCCATTATAAAATGATGACAATTGTTTATCATCTCGCCATATGGAGACAAATTGATTATATTGATATATTTGAAAACGTTTTCAGTAAAGTGATGAGCAATCATTTATCACAGGGATAGATCTTATTATCTGAGAGTATGTAAACAATAAAAACACATTCGACCAATTTGAGGAGTTAAAATGAGTTTAACATTTTAACCATGCGATTTTTAAAACATGTAATATACTATCAATATTGAGGCGATGCTCTGATTAATATTGTAGCATTACTATGTTTCCCTCCATTAGGTGTACTACCAAACACTTATTAAATTAAAACCTTATCATTTATTGAATGGCTCTAGAATAACATGTGCAAAAGGAGCAAGTCAGCCAGTTTACCAAAACAAGTGTGAATGACACATGTAAATACAGCCCAGTTTATCAGTCTGTTCCTACCGAATATGCAACGCTGTCAAATCGTACACAGTATTGCAGTGACTCAGCTCAACAGTGAAATCCTAATAGCTTTTGATTCATGTTTAACTCACAGTCCCTGCTTTTGCTTTGGTGGTTCCCAGGCAGCAGTAGCCTACGTCGTGGCCCTGGAAGGCCGCGGCGTAATCCTCCAGCTTCTCAAAGTCCACGATCTCCTGTATCTGGAAGCACACAGAACGCCGTCAAGAAAGGCCCCCTTTGGAACACGATGAATCTCGGATTAATTGGTGTCAACCGACGAGAGAATCCACCCACTTACCAGGTTTTCGTGCGCGTCGTCTTCAAAGGCGAGCCGTCTCCTCCCGATCAGGGTGATCTTGGAGAAGATGTTGCTCTCCAGCAGCTCTTGAAGCAACATCTTGCCCGATTCCCCGGAGGCTCCCAGGATGAAACAGCTTTTATTCTGCTGCCTGAAGTTCTCCTCCAGATTCTTCATGTCCGCGGCGGCCATGCTGTGTGCCACAACAAATCCACCCTTTGCACGAGTGCAGCTAATACACACATCATGAATTATACGCAAATGTTGAACATGCTGTGTGCAAACATGTTTATTTAAAGTATTGATATAAAAAGGCATGTGTTTTCATACCCAGTGGGGTAATTTAAAGAGTATGAATTGTGTAGTTGGATAGACTGATTGCCATCGAGTGAGAAAAATGTCACATTCAGACGAAAGCGATTTAAAGTGTTGAAGAGAAAAGACCTCCAAATGATTGAGCTGATATTAAAAAACTTATCCAGTCGACACAATTTACGACGAACTTATTAGAAGATAGCTATGATTTAGAATCCAGTGTTCGTTTTGTTTTACAAGTTGAATGTGTGTTCCGAAAGGTGAAGGAACTTTAAATGCCCGTGTTTATTAAAGGGGTTTGGTCTGACGTTCGCTCCTTGATTGTTACTCATGGAGACCCGGGGAGAGACTTAACGTTACGCACAGGTTCACTATATTGCAGCTAACGACAGACATGACTCGGAATCACATTTAGCTGACGTCATTATAGCTATTTCCGGTTTTTTTAGCAGTTAGCATTTGACCCTAAACTGAAGCTCGTCATGTTCGGCATGTAGGAAGGCAGAGAAGCAAGCGTTAACAACCCCCACCTGTCCTCCCCCACCGGGTGTTTACCTTGTGTATTTAACCGAATCAGGGTCGTCAAAATAATTCAAAACCGCCGCAATCACCACAACGACGGCCGCTAAGATCCCGGTGGCTTTTCGCAGGCTGATGTCCGCTGTCTTCATCACGTCGCTCGCTCGCCGGCAGCGGCCGCGTCAATTCGCTGCATCACTTCCTGGTTGCTTCGTCTTCACTGACGCTGCGCTCCTTCTGCTTCGTTCACGGGCCGAGGAAACAATACGGAATTATCAACACCGTCCGCTCTATACGGCGAGAGGGTGTGGCATTAATGTCAATTAAGGGGTTTATTTATTCTGTGTTAGACTTAATTCGACAGAAAGGGAGAGATCTTTGATCTTTGGACTTCAGCAAAGCCTGTCTCATCGTTGTCAACCGGACAACGTGTGCGCATGCGCACTACCACATTTCTAAAGCCCTGCAAGAATATGTTAATAATAATAATAATAATACATTTGATCTATAACGCTTCTTCATCAGCAGATCTCAGATTGCCACAGAGATGGCAACACATTGGCAAAAAATAAAGTAAAAGCTAGTAAAATCATAAGGGAAGATAAAACTTTTAAAAAGAATTTTAAATGTTAGAATATCCTGGACCCAATACAACTTTATGTAGTAATGTTCTATATCATCGCCTGTTATAATATAATACATGTTAAACTGTATATCGGCTATATAGTCAACTTACCATTGTTTTCTCTCAACATTAAATAAATAATGCAAATCTTCTCAGAACCCAATTTTCACAAAGATCAAAATACCATCTCCATTTGGTTACAAAAGCCCACCTTGCCCAGTGGTGGAAGAAGTACTCAGATATTTAAAGCATACGACAATCTAAATTTCACCCAGATATCCTGGTTTATCTCCGCAGAGAGCCGAGCTTTTCCAGTTGCAGGGAACCAACGTATTGAAGCTTAAAGGATTTTAATTGCTAACATAGAACAACTTTAAGTTTTGTAATAACTCCCTTAGACTGGACCGGCCCGCATGATCTTAACAACACTGAGGTTAAAATGCTAATATTTCAAATTTAGTTCACTAAAAGCAGATAAAAGAGATTCAGACATAAAAGAAACACAAGCCTCAACATTTTAAACTTATTGTAACATCTTATATTTGACAAAAGCAAAATGCTCACTGAAAAAAAAAGTTATTTTACATGACAAACATGCAAAAAACTAAAATGAAAAAGCTCAGAGTATGCTATTATGGTTGAACTGAAAACAGGGTCTTGGGGCCCTTCGGAGAAAGAGAATCGTCTCTCCATCCTTACATTGATTAAGCTGTTCACACCTGGGCACTGCAAATATGTATGAAATTGTTTTTAACATATTTAGGACATATTGGATCTTTTTGTTCCAACATAAGTACAAAACTTGTCCGGGATGGCAGCACTTGTGTGTAATTTGGTCAGGAAATCCAGCCTGCACCTGGAGGAACCAAACCTGGAAAAACGTCTTTGCCTTTTGTCAGACCATCAGGAGGGTTCATTAGCCAAAACCTTCGCACAAAGAAGGCCAGTCCAGTCCCATGCAATGAATTCATCAACACCCCATGTTTCCAACACCCCTGCCACTTTGAACACAAGGCATCGACCCAATCTAATAGAATACGATGGAGCCGGGGATGAATCTGATGCTTTAAATGTGTCAGCAGTCAGAGACAGAAAGAAAAGAGGCCGCGGTGCAGAGAAGAGGCCTTTAACTGGCACTCTGCTGAAATGAAATGTCGCCTCTTTGTTCCTTAGCCGCGGGTGCTAATTGGGCCTGGCGGTGGGGAGGAAAGCTGCCGCTGGGCTCCTGTCTGTCGCACCTGTTGAGTCATTGTCTCTCACATTGATCAGACAGGAAGTTGGAGTAAGAAGGCTTATGCCTCAGTGGGTGCGTGGCAGAAACGTGGTTCAATTTCCTTTTAGAGGTCCGCTGCTGGAGGTGGAAATACCAATGCTGGTCAGTGGTCAATTGCGTTCGACCATTGATCAGCTCGCACTAAAGGACAAATGGATCGGATGGAGTTGTCTTTTATTGGGTTTCCAGAGTCTTAATACCTCAATCACAATCGCTCCTGCATTTCCTCAGCGTTGCATAATGTCTCGGTCACAGCAGCTCTGGCACACTTCAGTCCCTTCAGTCAGCTTTTAGAACATGTGGACGCGAGATAATAATAAATCAAACAAACGTTGTGTGGAATATGAATTGAGTTTACCTTTTACCACCTCAAACTGTCAAACATTGATTATTTTACTTTTTGAAAACTGGTAATACTCTTTAGAGTTGACACATCAGTATAGAGGCGTTTGTTGAAGGTTTAGGAACGCCTGATTAGAGAGACTTTTGCATGTGTAGGGAAGCGTCCTGGTGTCACACTGCAGAGACTGAAATGCACGAAACAACAAACGAAAAGGCTGAACCAACCTCGGGAAATCTAGTATTACAGTTCAATTGTTTTTAGTCATAGAAAAAATGATCAAACTTTCTAGGGTGACGATGTCAGATGTGTAATGATTTACAGATTGACACCTTTGTGACATTTGTAATTGGAGTCAAAATGACTGACTGAAGAAAAGTCCTTATTTTCACCATCTTTACTTTACAGACCTCATCCAATCCAGCGTTCTTATGTCTTTAAGTGCAAAATGCAAAATAAGGCTGTTTTCACATAAAGCTTAACTGATGAATGTAACGTGTGAACGAGTGTCTGAACTTGGTCGGGGTCGGCCGGCCCCATATGTTTCTGCCGTCGCGCATTGTTTGAGGACTGTAAGCTTGTTAGCATTTGGAGGCAACGCTTTAGACCACGGACAGCTCAGCGTGTCAATTCATGACATTTGAGTAGGTTTTCTGGCATTCGACCAATATAGACAAAGACTCAGGAATCCCATCTCGTCCGATTGATTCTGTATTCCCATCATTGGGTTTGCTGCTTCAAATCATCTCTATAAAGATATATTATGCCTAAATATTTATTGATTGTCATTTCTATCTGTAATACAGACTGATTTAATTGAAACATATGTATACATGCTTGTTTACAAATACACACACACACACACTTGCATGCCGTACACAAACTTGGCTTACGGCTCAGGACCCTGATTCCACAGACTCTGGAGTGTGATGCTAATGATGGAAATTAATGGAGCCTGACAGCACAATCTGGTGCCCATTGTCTCCCAATAAACAGCTTTGCAGTCCACATGAGCCACAGAGGGGACGGGAGGTTTAAGCAGGAGAGACGGGCAGGGTGGAGGGTCAGACCTCAGGGGACAGAGCTGATCCTGAAGTGGGGATTAGCTCAATTAGAGCGGCACTGTCTGATCAAGATGCAGGGTTCCATGGTACCGATGATGTGTGTGTGTGTGTGTGTGTGTGTGTGTGCGTTATGAGAAGAGTTGTCACCATTAGAGCCGACTGTTGCCGTCATGTGTTGCTGTGTCTACCGATGCAGCTGGTGAGGACAATTGTCAACATGATGACCTTCTGCTGAAATATCCATTTATCATGATGCATTTCAATGGTAATTAATCTCCAATGTGTTTTATTGTCCAAATTATAACAGATCCATGAATATTTCAGCAAGCTTCTCATCAACTTGTTACGGGTTTTAAGATTAGGATTTACCAATAATAAAAGTACAAGAATGTTTTTGTTTTTAATTGCTAATAATTTGTCCCAAATACGATTGTAAACCGAAACATTTTTTTGATTTACCGTAAGCGTTTAATGAGCAATTACATTTTTTTACAGGGTTTCTCTCGGAAGATTTCCTGTATAATTGCATTTTTTATTTATTATCTAAAAAATAGATTTTTTTTAAAGTATTGTGTCCACCTGAACTCAAATGTGTTCATGTTGTTCTCTAAAAAGACTTACGTTGTCTACAGTAAACAAGGTCCTCCTTTAAATAACACTGTTATGTTAACCAGAGTCCATATCTGAGCATGAAAAGTTCAATGTTATCTATCCTGGTCCCTTCAAAATATTTGTATGTAATATGACAAAATACTGTATAACAGTGTGGAAGGAGTTCCGTCTCAATTTAAAGGAAAACCTCTGAACGGGGGGGTTAAAAAGGCCGTACCAGCTGCCTGATATCGGCGGTGAAAGTACAATAAAGTGACGCCACAGTGGGACGGAGGCTCAGTCTTCCTCAGGCCCGGCTTTGTTGCAGGCTCAGACTGGAGGCTCAGACCGTCACAATATGTTTCCAGGCCAAGCGGAGTATCAGCGGTGCTCAGTGGAGCTTTCCTGCTCAAAGAGCCGCCGCTAAGCAGGAATGAGAGCTGCTTTTCCTCCTCTGAGGAACAATGGGCTCATTAAAGGAGCAAACAGATTATCTCTGTTTTTCAGTGAAAGGGTCCTAAAAAGAGTCTGGGGGCCCTGGCAGCTCCCAGCAGGTACAGATGAAACTACACTTGCACATCTGGCCAACTTGCTGCTAACTACTCTGTCCCTGTCTGCACATCTGCCTCTTTTAGTATATCAATGTGTTAATGACGCTGTGTCTGTTTCCCTCGTGTGTGCACACATCATTTCATGCAGAAATACACAAACTACAGCATGAAACACAGCTTAAAATAAACCTCCTGAAGGGACGCTGGAGGTTCGTCAGATTAGATGTTTTTTTTTAATTTGTCTGTCCACTGTGATGACGACAAACTAGTTGTTATTTTCTGACAGTGATCTGAGGTGTTTCTATTTCTTGAGCTTAAATTAGACTTTCGTCCTGGTCTGTGCGAGACGGTGCCAACAAACACTTTACTGCATTCACCGCATCCTCAGTGTCTCTCTTCAGTCGCTCGCGCTCTCTTCCGTCGTGTGCAGCTTCCACACAGCGAGCGAAGTGGCAACAGGTCTTTTCCAAAAGGATGTTAGTGAGCTACAAACTGACGCTGGGCAAAAAGTTGGCCCATTGGAGGGTAATTGCGACGGTACAAATCAAAGTCACCAGACTAAGAAAGAAAGTGTTGGCATGGCGCCGGACTTCTTCTTCTACGTTCTCGCCAAAAACCGATGGGCGAGCATGTCGACTGAGAAAAAAAAGAAACCAGTTAAGGGAATTTTTCTCCTGCAAAGACATCACAGTCCTGTGAAATGTTAAACAAATTGCTGAAATTCACACTCGCTTGTGCGGCTGATGCTTTGTTTTCTTACCAGCGCGCCTGTGAGCATCTCCGCCAATCATGAACGACTCTGAAACCAAAGCGGTGGCTTCTTTTTCCCACCACTATGCACTTGTCTCACGTCCACTGAATGCGTAACACAGACCTTTGTGTGAATGGATGCGTATTGGCCCCTGAGTCCTTTTCACCGG